GGTTCTGTTTCTCTGGAGAATCCTGAATAATACAGAAACCATCAGCAACAGTCAAACTAAGTAATCTCAGTAACTTAGTTCTAGATCGTAGAGCTCTTTCTCCAGATAAAGTTTGGAGATAATCTCTGTTATATTAGGTATGTCAGAAGCTCATTTAATGCAAAATTCCCTGGAATCTTTGAAAATGCCCTCTCTGAAGTGGTACTAAACCAGCCTCCAATTGCCTCTGGAGGTGTGCCTTCCAATGTGACAGCGCTTTGCATATTCCTGCATTCCCTCCAAAGGCTGTTCACACACCTCGTCAGACTGCATGCTGCTCTGGGATGAGGGAACACTATATTTAGCATCTTGGCATTCAGCCCATTCAGACAGTGGCCAGAGTTCAGGCTGGGACAGGTGGCAACATCACTCCTTTCTCTATTTTTGCTAGAGGGCTTTGATTTATTGGCATCAAAGTTCTTTGGCACAATGGCAATTAGTTGTTGGCACGGCCACTTTCTGTCATTTTCTGTTACCTATGGCCTTTGGTACGTCTTCACAACCTCACTGACACTCATATCTCCAACTCGTTAACCTCTTCCTTTCCTGAAGAACACATTTTGGTCCGAAGGTGGATCATTTCTAGTGAATGATCCTTTCAGAAACTGCTCTGGCTGCAGGGAAGATGAAAGTTGTTGTCTGGATAGGCAACGCTTCCCTCTGGCTTGGCCACAGGCAAGAGGCCACAATGGGGCTGTACACTGAGCTCCGAGCCCCCGTTGGGGAACACCCTTTGGGCATATAGGACATTCCTCAGCCAAGAGGTGAAATGTTCCTCACTATAGAATGGGGATGCAGATGAGGTTTTAATCTCCCCATCAGACACACATTGGTGACTGCTGTGAAGATCCACCACCTACAGTTCTGCACTGTCCAATATGGTAGCCTTAAGCCGTATGTGGACACTTATATTCCAATTAATTTAAATTAAATACAATTAAAACTTTTAATCCCTCAGTCACATCAACGACATTTCAAGTGCCCAGTAGCCACAGGTGACTAATGGTTACTGTATTGAATAGTCCAAAAAGAACATTTCCATCATCCCAGAAAGTTCTGTTAGACAGTGTTGATCTACTTAACAAGGATAATAATAGTCTACCTCACAGGACTGTTAGGGTAATAAAATTAAATATTGCATGTAAAGCACTTAGGATAATACTTCACACATGCACACTTGATAAATGGGATTTATTATTTTCCATAAAATAAAAATTCTCCTAAAAGGGAGCCACTCTAAGCACCAAATTTAGTTCAGGAAACTATCACTCAGATGCCCTGTGAATCAGCATACTTCTTAGCATTGTCTCTTGCTGAGACGGGGCATTGCAGGGAGCACTGAGGAGTGGTGTCCTACTCAGTGAACAGCCACGGCTGCTGTGGAATGTAACTAGGGGAGGGAGGGCTGGAAACTCCCTAAACAGAAGCAGAATGAAGCAGGATGTGAAGGGGGCTTCTACTTCAAAAAAAGTGTCAGCAGCAAAATGGATTAGGTTAATTGTTAGAGGGAGGAAGGACAAGAGGAAGAGGAAGGAGAGGGTAGGTAAAGGGTGGGGGAGAGAAAGAGAGAGAGAGAAAGATGGGTAGGCATGAAACACAAAACAACTTTTCTGCACCAGGCATAGAAAGTTGAGCCTGGATCTCCTGCTCCAGACTCTTGAGCTATTGTTGAACCTACTAAGCTGGGGTGAATACTCAAGGTACAATGATGTCCATCATGGTGTAACAGTTGTCTAGAGTAGGAGCTTCTCCATTGTCTGGAAAAGCCTAGAATGTAGAGAATGCCCACAGAGCCTTGGTAGCCACCTCAGCCATTATACAGTGGGAGTTTGAGGAATACCAGTCTGACCTATAAACAGGCACTGAGCAAGCTGTACGTTGGGAGTCAACTTTCTGAAAGTACTGGTAGGAAGGAGAACACGAGAAGAAAGGCATTTTTCACATTCCCTGCCAGCATCCTCTTAGCCCCCAAATGGTTTTCTCTGACCCACATTTCTCCCTGAAAGTATTTGCTGAAACTGGCCAAGGGCTAAAACTAAGACAACTGTGAAAGCCTGAGAATCCCAGGGGGTAGGCCCTGAGGCTGCTGGCCTATGGCATCCCTCCCAAATTAACCACAGCAACAATAGCTAGTGTTTAGTAAGTGCGTACAATGTGCTAAACACTATTCTAAGTATTTATTTATTTTTCCTGAAAGTAATAATATATGGTACAGGTATCATTTTTATCCCCATTCTTTTTTTTACCTAAAAAAATGGAAAGAAGGGTAGAACATAGGGAAGTCTACTTTGAAGAGTGATCAATTTCCTGGTTACCTACATAAGGTAGGAGATTCTATGGGTGTGTAAAACATTATTAGTGGGAAGCAGAAGCCCAGAGTATGACATGAATTTATGAAGAGGCCTTACGGGGGCAATATAATGTGGTGTTAGGAGTTCAGGTCTTGGAGCCAGACCCCAGGGTTCAAATCCCAGCTTTGCCACCATCTAGCTGCATGACTGTGGGCAGATTGCTCTACTCTCTGTTGCTGCTTCTCATCTGCAAAATGGGGCTAGTAATAGTATCTCATCCTGGAAATACTGTGAAGATTCAGTGAGTCAAAGCCCCTGAAGCCAGACCTGCCATGCGGTCAGCACTGTGTGAGTGGCAGCCATTACTATTAGGACTGGGCCAGGCTGGCTGTGGCTCCTCTTCCAAGGTTCTTTGCTGCGACAGCTGTGAGCTGTGGTAGTCAAGGACATCACAGTGTTGAAGGGGTGAGTACATTGGCTCTTTCGTCTGCCCTCCTACTTGGAAAACAGGTCAACCCAAGGTTTCTCTACTACACATATGAGTTTGAGACCTGCATCAGGCACCCGTAGATAGAATCTTTCATTCATCCAGTTACTCATTCATTCATTCATTCATCCAAATTCAGACAGGGTCCCTACTAGGCAGGAGCTCAAGTCAGCGTGAGGAAAAGTGCAGCGTGTGGAAGGGATCTCAGTGTAAATCCCGGCTCCTTCCCTCGCTAACCGTGTCACTCTGGCAAATCATAGCACCTGTCTGAGCCTTGGTTTTCTTTCCTACAAAATTAGGAAAGAACAAAGGAGATAAAGTGAGAGAAGATGCATGGAAAGCTCTGGAAAGCATTGTACAAAGATAAGCATTGCCAATTCTGATAAGGGACACAAAGAAATAGTGGTGTTTATAAAGAAATGCTGGAATGAAGAGTGAGCCCCTGGCCGAGTTCAGGTAAGGCTGTGGATGAGGAAGGGAAGGGGAAATACGTATTTGGCTCCTAGCTGCCTGTATTTTGGGTTCCTGGCATGATTCTGTATGAGTCGTTTCAGCTCTGTTTGCCTCAGTTTCTCCTTGTCCCCAAAGCTGTCACAAACTGAAATGTCGCTAGCCTTAGATAATAAGAAACTCTCAGCCTTTTCTAAATAGAAATGTTATAGATTCTTCAACACTATAGATGTGTCTCACATCTTATTGCTCAGCACCTTGGGAGAAAAGAAGAAAACACTTTCCAAAAGAATCTCAGCTTCTGAAAATAACAAAGGCAAAGAAAAATGACCCTTCGGAACCTCTTTAAATAGAGTCCTCTGCCTCGGCTCTCCTCAGGAGGTGAAGGCAGAAGCGAGAGTTTTTGGGGACTTATTGCTGAAGCCTGAACACCCCCATCTTTCTCTAAGCAGCGTCTCAAACTCCACCTGATTTTCACAACGCTTCTCTTTCCCAAAGCCACAAATCTGTCCTACCTTAGTGCAAGATGGTGTCAGCTCCAGAGCTTGATTCTGGAGTTGTCCTTCTCATGGGCCGAACTGAATTAGATTTCACAGACTGGACAGATACTTTAGGGGACCTCAGAGCCTCCTCATAGACACCATCAGAAAACACCTTTTCTATATAATCTGACCTATCTTTGTGGAAAGTGCTCAGAGGAGTGCTTGGCATTTCAGCAGTGTCCAATAACAGCTGCTGATATTGTAATCATTAGCTTACTAGACATTATATTATTTGATCTTGCCCTAGGTCCTGCTGGCAGCTTTTGGCAACATGCATTGAAGTTCGGGCATCAGGATCCTCAAAGTGGTCCTCAACCAGGTCCTTTGCATCAGCAGTGGCCCTGATGAGATTACGAGATTGTTGCATCTGCTGAGAAATTTCCCGTGGAGCTTTGTGCCCTAAAATTAAGACAGTTCTAGAAAAACCAGCAGGGCTCACCTTGCTCCAAGGTGGAGTCAGTGGCCATCTGCTGGGGTGGGGGAGTCAGGGTGGTTTGAATGTTGTCCTGCAGTGTCTCGCTAATTTTACAGCTGATGTCTGCAATCCACATACAGGTGATCAAGCCTCTATAAGATGGAGAGTGGGATCATAAAAGAGAGAGGCAAGGCAACCATTTAAATTCACCCTATCGTATACATGACTAGCACGATATCTTCCCTTTGTGCAAGTTCTAGTGGGGAAGGAAAAAAGAATATAAAGATACTGACACGGGACGAGAAGAAAGGGTGATAGACTGACAGATGGGCTTCGTTGTGGAGGTGGCGGAGACCCTAAAGACCAATTACTACAATCCTCATGGTTTCCCATTTTTCAGGTGAGAAAACGGAGGCATTTTAATCCAGTAATGTGCTCAGCGTTAGAACTGGGTTAGAGCCCGGGGGTCTGGGGTCCTGGTTGCTGTCACGGGGTCTTGGCCTCCCACTGAGAGGATATATAATAACGCTAGCAGAGGGACCAGATGAATTTTACTCTGCTTCTAGTGTGGTTTGGGCCATCTTGGAAAATCAGGGCCGAGGCCCATCCTCCTTTCAGTGGGAGGTACGGGAGCAGGCAGCTCTGAGGGCCTGCGGCCGGGTGTGTTCCTGGGACTCACTCACCTGGGGCCGCTTCCACTCCAGATTGGAGAGATGTTTTTCCTGGAGCAGCTTCTGGCCTATGGAAGAAGCCATGGGAGGGAACGTCTCATCCTCAAAGAGCCAGCCCCTGCTTAGGCAATGATCCCGCAAGGAGTTAAAGTCCTGGTCTTTGAACTTGATAACGTTGGTCTCTGCTAACAGCTCCTGGTTATGCGCCATGACTTTCCTTAGAAGACTTCTGAGGTCCTTTCCTTCTGGAGAGAAGAAGGGATATTTTTAGGGGTGAGCCATCAAGTCCTTTGTATCATCAGATGCAAGACCCAGAAGGGCACTCTGATGTATGCCCCTTTACAAGTGGGGGCACTGAGACCAGATTCGTGCTGTCCCTGGAGACACAGCCAGTTGGTGGGCAAGCCTGAACTAGAATCAGGCATCCTCACCCCCAGTTAAGCTTTCACTCTGCTGTCCTGGACAGCTTCTCACTGTGCTCTTGTGTGCATGAGGGGCTATTGGGGTACTTGCACATTCGATGAACAGTCATTGAGCACTGACCTTGTACCAGGCACTCTTCTGAATGCTGGCAATCCAAAGATAAATTCGACATGATCTTTATTGCCTTGACGCTGATTATCAAGTGGGAAAGATGTCTATCATTCAACAGAACAGTTCAATGAAAAACGTGTATTTAGTCCTGTGGACGCAGAGAAGAGCAGCTATGAACTGCCATGGAGGGTCTGGAATGACTCTCCTCTGGGCAGTGACTTTTGAATTGGGCCTTGAAGGAAGAAGAATTTGTCAGGTGGAGAATGAGTAGACAGATTTAAAAAAAAAAAATGCCCACAGCTGCCCTGAGTGGCTGGATTGGAAAGTCGCTGGCTGCTAGAGGGAATGGGGAGGGACTGCAGGGTTTGGTGGGGAGGGGCCAGGGATAGAGAGTGCTGGAAGAGACGGCCAGAAAAGAAGGCTGGGAAGCTGGATGGTGACATGTTTCAAGCTCTGCATGGCACTGAAGACGCAGGCATGACCAGATCTGTATATAGGATTGTGCTGCAGGTTGGGGAGCAGGTTGGGGGGCTGGCAGAGGGGCTGGGCAGGAACTGGAAGCAGGGAGGATGCTAAGAGGCATTTGTCCACGGGAGAGATGGTGTTAGAGCAGCAGAAAAGAAGCCAGAGGGGAGACAGATTCTAGTCATTTTATAGGTGAAGAATTGAAGATGGGGGTAGGGGAGGAGGAGTGTGGTGATGATCTCACATGTGTATATACGTGTCAAAACTCATCAAAGTTTACACCTTAAATATGTACAGTTTTCATATGTCCTAATAGAGTTGTTTTAAAAATTAAATACAGTATATTGTTACACAGTCTTCAGTAATGTGCTTCCCCCCATAGGTAAAAATGTAACTGAATGTCATTCATTTTCATAGCCACATAATACATTATTCTACAATTTATTTATACTGCTCCTTGTGATGGGCATTTAATGTTCTCCTCTTGGTTTTAATAAAAAGTATGCTATAAGTGTTCTTGCGCACCACCTCCTGTAAGATTTTTCTGTAGCTTAGATTCCTAGAAATAGAATTTCTGGGTTTAAGATATGCACATAGTCAATCTCACTAAGCATGCCAAATTATTTTCCAAGGTTGTATCAATTTACAACCTTGCCAGCAACGCGAAAGAGCTCCCATGGCTATCCATCCTCACTAACTCTCAGTATTGGCAGGCTTCTCATCTGGACCCATCGGTGGAAGTCAATGGCCACTCCTTGTGGTCTTAATTTGTTTCCCTGATTAGGGGTAAGACTGAGCACCTTTCAATATGCTTATTCTTCATTTATGTTCCCTCTCTTGAGAAATGAATATTCATATCTCCTGCCCATTTGTCTGTTGGGCTGTCTTTCTCTTATTGATTTGTAGAGATTCTTACTTACTCTGGATGTTTGTCTTTTGTTAGTCCCGTGTGCTGTAAATATCCTCGCCCAGTGTGTGGCTCATCTTCTTAATGCCTTTACCTTGTCTTTTGATGAACACAGATATTCTTCACTTTACACAAATATGACTGTTTTACAAGGATTTGCTTGTATGTTTAAGTATTATAAGTTGGACCAAATGTTCATTCTTACGGGAATTTAACATAAGAAGTTTTGTGAAATATTCTTTTTTAAACAAGAAATGTATTTGTAATTAACACATACTGATTTAAAATTTTTTATAGCTCTATAATAATATTTTTGAGAAGTCTGAAATTTATAGGAAAATTCTGAAATGGACTTGCAAAGAAACAATTTGAGTACTTAGGAAATAAAGCTGGTATTTCTAGAAGCAAATATAGCCTTACTAAAGCCAATTACTTAACTTTCCCTCTTGTTTTCTTTCTCCCCCTACCCAACAGAGTCCCTAATTTGGAGAAAAGGAGAATTTTATATATATACACACACACATACACACATATATGTATATATACACACAAACATATTTTGATTTTTAGAAAGAAGTGATAAAATCTTGATAAAATCACCACCAATTCCCTGCATGTAGACTAGTTTAGACTAGACTGAGCAGATTGTATACCCTGTGGTAAAGGACAGCACAATGCAGCATAGTACAATATAGCACAGTATAGCACAGAAATAGACTTCACAATTTGACCCAGAGATTGTGGACAAATGGTCCTGGATTAGCTTGGAATCATTGCACTATGATAGTCACAGACCTCTGTCCTGTTGAATATTTTTATCTTGATCCTGGAAGAAGATGCTGAAATAAAAGTGAAGATCCTTTTCAACTCTTTCATCATTTTTATTACTAGAAATGAAGGAATGACAATTAACCAAGCAGATAACAGAATCATCATTCTAAATGACCCCAGAACCAAGAAGGCAGAATTTAACCAAGGAAACTGCAAACCTGCCTTCATATTTCAATGTTAACCATGCAAGCAAATCGTGAGCAGGGTCTGCCTGGACTAAATTGCATTCTGAAAATATTTTGTCTGCCTTACTTGACTTCCTATTTCAAATGAGGCAAAACTATGAAAGATTTGACAGGATCTGAATGGCTTCTATAGCAATATGGTGCTGCTCTAGACGGAATAGCCCAGTCCCCTGTACGAAGCCACTCTTGACCCGACGTGGACATCTGTGTTCAGCCCTAGGAGCTGTGTTCCCAGAGGCACATCGACACTGGTGTCCACAGAAGAGTGTTTGAGCAGCATAAGGGCGCTGGCCGGGGAGGCACAGCAGGGGCTCCTGGCATACAGGTATAGCAAACCTGAAAGAGGTGGGGACTTTTTCTAATTGGCATGAAAATGCCACACAGTCTGTAGGCATTCTAGCTAAGTATACGAGGAGCCTGGAAATCTCTTCCTGGGAAGGAGAATTAGAGATCTAGAGATGTTTGTTAGCAGAAAGGCAGAATGAGAGCCCTACAGTGACCATCAGACTTGGCCCCTGCGGCCCGTGCCCAGCCCTGCAGAGAGCAGGGATTTAACCACCTCTGGTCCCACGACTGGGCTTCCCACTCCTAAGCATCCCTGGCTGCTTCTCTGGCCCCCAAGGTTATGCTCCAGTTTAGAAAACCAGACCCTGCCTCATCCCTTAAGAAAACAAGAAAAGAAAAGGAGAGGCAGCGTGGAATGGGCGTCAGAGCATGCGAAATCAGGGTAGAACTTTGGTTTGAGTCCAGCTGTCACTGACTGACTGAATGATCTCAGGCAATCCCCTTAGCATCTCTGCACCTCTTTCCCTTACACATAAAATGGGCTGCAGGTTGGGTAATAAAACCAGCCTCGCAGCTGTAGGTGGGTATTAAATGAGAAGATTCTTGTAAAGGGCTTGGCGTGGCACATAGTAAAAGCCTGTGACTGTCACTCTAACAGGAAATCCCTGAACTTGAGCCTAGTGTCTGGGGCCCTGTACCAGGTGGTGGGCACCCCAGGCACTGGCCAGTCACCTCTGCACTTCCAACCTCAGGGCTCTCCAGGTTCCAGAGTTGTGTTTTTCCTGTGTGTCAGACCCTTGATGCCCTTGTCTGCCTGGAGGAAGCTCTTAGCACACACCCTCCTTGAGCCATGCTGTAGACCACGTTATCTTTCAGCACCTATGGCTGGGCCAGTGTCCCACAGCCTCCCCTGGTCCCCAGGGCTTTTTCCTCTTCCTGCCTGCCCTGTCCTGCCATGATGGTCAAGTTGGCTGAAGCCAACCACATGCCCAGTGGAAAGGATTTGAAAGCAAAGGAAAAACACATGACCTGTGTGGTCCAGAGGATGCAACGAGTCCCCAGATATTTGGGAAGGGGTGGTTTTGATCAGAAAGCTTTGCAATAGAACCCTCTGCGATGATGAGCGCGTTCTAGACCTATGCTCTCCTATACAGTAGCCATCAGATACGTGTGGCTGTTGAGCACTTGACATATGGCTAGTGTAATTAAGGGACTGAATTTTAATTTTCATTCAATTTTAATTCATTTACATTTAAATGTATATACCCTACATGCATCCCTGCTGGCCAGCACAGAAGAGCTGCTAATGACATGAATTAACAGGAACAAGCAAGGAAGGGCGTAAGCACTTCAGTGGAAATGGTGGCGCAGTGGCTGGATGATAGCAAGAGGGCGGCGCAAGGGGGCCCTTGAATAGGCAGGTCACTTTCACCTTCGACCTGCCGGGCTCTCTCCACTCAGTTGCTTTTCTTCAGCATCTTCAGCATCGCACTTTGGCGACCAAACCACTCATTCACTTTCTGCCAGCACTACGATGGCACCTCCTCACCCACCCCCACCCCCCACGGTGACAGATGCTGGAGTGGCCCTGGGGTCCCTGCCTGCAGGGCGCACTCAGCATGTTCCAGCAACAAAAGGGTGATTTTGTTTGCCTTTTTTTTTGCAGTCATCTAAGGAACAGGAAGCAGCACTCAATTGTTCCCTGCCCAGGAGTGCTGCACACAGCCCTCTCCTGGCTGGTGTTTTTCAGAACAATGGAAATAAATCTGATGTAATGTAGCAGAACACGACAAGGGACGGTTTCCCCCTTAACAAATACTCATTTGAAATGGTGCCCAAACCCTGCACGAGGAGCGATCTATTTCCCACAACAGTGTTCCAGCAAAACCCATTACTAATTCCACAACTCAAATTAAAACTAACAGAGCTTGAAGGCTGGGACTGACACTCTCTCTGCTGACAAGGAACAAGGAAGGGTGGGGGAAGGGGCCCGTGCACTTGTG